AAGGATTAGTGCATTTTGGGAAAATGTTATTTTGCCTATGATAGACATTTAGGTTGAAAATAGGCAGAAATAAATAAATCCTTCATCAAATAATAAATGCTCAGCACCAAAAAGTGGCCAGACTATCTTAAATTAACATACTCAACAAATATTGAATCTTACCTTTGTGGACTAGTCCTTGGGTGACAAGCATGCTTACAAGAGAAAGAGGCAGAGCTGTAAAACAAAAATACCTTTCAATATTGGAATTTTAAAAGTAGGCATCTCACCCAGAAGCCATGGAGAACTACTGGGAGCAGTGGGTTAAGTGTTAGGCTGCTAACCACAAGGTCGGCAGTTCAATATCACTAGGCACTACTTGGAAACCCTATACAGGGTCTTTATGAGTTGGAACCAACTCGAAGGCACTTAACAACAACATATAAAAGTTTTAAAACAGTACAGTAAACTCCTGCATACTCTTTGTCTAGCTGCATTCATTTGTGAACATTTTGCCAAATTAGCTTTGTCTCTCCCTGATTTTGTTTTCTGAGTCAGTTGAAATTAGCAAACACCATGACTCTTCCCCACCTAATTATTTCAGCAAGTGTCCTCTAAGAAGAAGAACACGTCCCATACTTCATCACACTATCATGAGCATGTTCAAGACAAAGAGCGTCGATGTGTTGATATGAATGGTTTTAGGAAAAAAGTCTACGTAGAAACCACTCCCACTGTGATAAATGCACACAAGAGAAAGGCACACAATTGGTAATGCTGACTCTAATTCTAACCCTAAGTATTACATGGGATTTTCTTGCAGGACTTTTTTCATGTGGGCTTTTTAAAATGGTTACCAATATTAACAAATCATTGTTGTTGGTTTTGGGTGCTGTTTTGAGTCGGTTTGACTCATAGCGACCCTGTATAGACTTTCCGAGGCTTTAAGTCTCTGCGGGAGCAAAAAGTCTCATCTTTCTCCGCATAGTGGCTGGTGGGCTCAAACGGCAGATTTTGTCGTCCACAGTCCTGTGTTTATCCTATGGATCCTCCATGTCCCCAATATTAACTAATACATAATCTATATCCCCATTGTCTCAATAATATCCTTCATAATTGTGGGTTTTTTTTATTCCCAGTTCAGGAAAGCAGAGATCATGTACAATGGGACTTCAAAAAGTTCATGGAAAAAAGGAATAAAAAGATAATGGAATTTTTCCATGAATTTTTGAAGCTCCCTTGTATTGCATTTCATTACCATGTCTCTCTAATCTGCTTTAATATAAAACAGTTCTTTTATCTTTTTTTTAATCTTTCACAACGCTTTGTCACACAATTTTGATTTGCCTGTTTTCTGAAGATTATAAAATGATGACTTTCATGCTAACCATGAATGCCCTTTAGCTATGATTTTTTAAAACACACAATTTAGTGTGGCAAGAATAAGTCTCTGGTTCTATCAAAGAGTATCAAATGACCTCTTCCAAAAGCAGAGAGCAGTGATAAAGTCTAGCTCTTCCTAGCAACTAAGACAAATCAAATAGCAATGGATGGTTCTAGTTTGGTTCTATTACCTGCTGGTAGACAAATGGGTCATACTGAAGTGTTAATCTACTGGGGCCCAATTAAATGACTTACTCATAGGTTGTCAGAAAACACATACAGGTCCAGAAGCACTATCAGTAATCATAGCACTGCATAATGAATAACAACCTCTAAAGAGCATAGTTCCCAAACAGTTCAAACAGAATTTGAATGACTGAAGAAATCAAAATGAATATTTCCAAGTACAAATTATCCCTGCATTGATAATGTTACTATTAAAATACTGACGAAACATCTATAGGCTCTATTAAGACACTTTCAAGTGATGAATCATTCACACTCTGGTCTTATGTAAGACAGTCCCAGAAAGAGGAAACAACTCTATTTCAAAGACAATGTAGAAATATTAACGAATTACTGTCATTTATCATTCATTCAACAACTGTTAAGTATTTTCTATGTGTGAGGCACTGTGCTAAATTCTGGATTGAAGCAGTGCATTTGGCTTGGCTCCTGAACTCTATGAAGCTAGAGTCAAGGAGAATTCAGAAATATTTGTTTTTTGGCAATTAAGAAATGCTGAATACTACTCTTGCTCCACTTTCTTGATCACATCAAGGAAAGTATTACTTTTCGGAAAGTGAAGTGAATGCTCTTTAACCAATTATTACCTCTGTCCTAAAACCAATCTCAACATGGATGTAAATTCTAGACAGCCCCACATGTCAATGTTCACGAGGGCTTTATGCGAAGTTCCGGCTGAGAAATCTATCATTACCATAATGACACAATGGATTCACCCAGTGGCTGCAACAACATGCTCAAATATAGTTAACAACTGTGAGGATGGTACAGGACCAGGCAGTATTTTGATCTGTTGTACATGGGGTTGGAACCAACTCGATGGCACTTTATGACAACAACATGACAGTGACGCAGATTATTATAGCAAATCTGGTGTTACTGTTAATTGTCATCAAGTAGATCCCAACTCATGGTGATCCCATGTGTGTGAGAGCAGAACTGTGCTCTACACTTTGGAAGCAGATAGCCAGGTCTGACTTCCGAGGTGTTGAATCACTTGTGTCACCCAAGGACATTGGAGCATATATAGCATTAACAACGACGAAGAGGGGTGCAATTACCTCTCTTCCAGAAACTTTCTTCTTGGCATTCTCGGATAATCTTTGCAATCTCTCCTCTGTGGATGTGCAGCTTCGATTTTGGACAAAATAACAGGCTCTGTAAGAAAAGCTATATGATGAGTTAACTGAAACCATCAGAAAAACATCAGTTTTGTTCACTCTTGTTATACAGCGTAAGTCTGTGCCAGCTTCCAGCACACAGCAATCAATAGTTTCAGAGAGAGCTTCCCATCTGGGAATGCTGGGTAGACTTAAGCATGGAAAGAATCCCAATGGGAGAATCAAAGAGTGATTCACGGATGAGAGAGCATGCAGCAGCCATCTGGTCAGGCCGAATTACTGCATAGGACACATTTTCTTTCTTACTGCCATGCCTGTGTCCATACCGTCACTGTATCTGGCAAATCACTCACAGAGATGTAGCTAAGATATGGCAGGTATGATATGTGTCCTGGGTGCCACTTGTAGGGGGTGCCACTGAGCAGCTTCTACTAACTATTACAGGTTCCACTGCCAGTTATGAGAGGTCATTCAGGAAATTACAATGAATAGGCTCAAACATTTGAAAGCCTGTATGGGTCAAGGCAGACTGTGGGAATCTTGCTCTGCAGATAATAAAAGAAATAAACCTGATGGAAAATAAAGATTTGAGTACATCACAGACTAGTTTTTATTGGTGAAAACAAGGAAGGTGCAGCGGAAGAGTGGTTAACAACCTGCGATATGCAGATGACACGGCCCTACGTGCTGAAAGCAAAAGGACTTGAAAGTATTTACTGATGGAGAGCAAAGACTACAGGCTTCATAAGATACAATAAGTGAGAGGCTAGAAAAAAATGATAGAACCTGGAGTTCAAGAGAAGTTAATATTGTCATCTACACCATCCTGTCAGTAGAAATGTGGATAGATGGGTGTGGGAGGGACACTGGGAACATACCCACAAGTAGATATAGGTTTAGCAGAGGGTATTTGTGAATGGGTATTTATCTTTGCTGCAAATATATCCATGAATGTGCTGGAGCATACAGGTGACAAAATTCTGAAAACTTGTTAAGTGCCTTCGAGTCAGTTCTGACTCGTAGTGACCTGTATAGGGTTTCTGAGAAGAGACTGATGATCTTGGACTGCCAACCTTGTAGTTCAAACCAACTTTGCAGTCCTGCGCTTTAATATGCAGTACCACACCAAGACTTCTTAGCTATAACTAAATTCCTTGAGGGAATGTGTTGCAGGGCCCGGGTGCTCAGTCAGGAGACAACAAGGTTTGATTGGCATAACATACTCCACCAAGACAATGTTCACATCTTACGTGGATGAGTAGTGACTGGGGTCTTAGAAGCTTGTGAGCAACCATATAAAGTGCAACTATTGGTCTCTCCATCTCTGGAGGGAAGAATAATGATGAGAATCAAAGACACATGGAAACAATTAGTTCAGCAGCCTAATGGATGATGGGGACATCGGAACCTGCAACCAGAAGAACTAGATGACACCCAGCTACCACTACCAACTGCTCTAAAGGAATTGCATTAAAAGGTCTTGGATAGTTGTTGTTGTTAAGTGCTGTTGAGTCATTCTGACTCATGGTGACCATGTAAAGGGTTTCCAGGGATCAATCGATGAGTTTGAACCACCGACCTCATGGTTCGAACTGACCTTGAGGTCGAGTGTTTATCCTTTGTTGCCACACCAGGTCTCTAGCACTCTTGGATAGAGTGGGAGAAAAATGTGGGAAAAAACTCAAAAATCATAAAAATGGCCTGCTTTACTGGTCAGATAGTGCCCGGTGGAACCCCTGAGACTTTGGTCCTCAGTCACACATCAGATCCAGAAAGTAACTCACCTCCACGGCTCAATTTTCAGCCAAACAAGGAACAAGCCTCTAAGGGGAGTAATAACACTAGGGAGGCATGCACATCTTTTAATAATCAACGATTTGAGATCAAAAGGGAACCATTTTTTAACCAAGGATAAAGTTCAGAAGATTAGGAAATAAAGTGGAATGGAAGCAAGAAACACAAGGAATAAGTGGAATGAAAGATGTTATATTGTGGGGAAGGCAATCAATGAGATGAAACTAAACGTGTGTGAATTCTTGAATGGAAAATGGATTTGCTTTGTAAACCTTTGACCAATTCACAATAAAAAGTTCAAAAAAAAAAAAAAAAAAGACTACAGCTTTCAGTAGCAAAAATCCTCACAATTGGACCAATAAGCAATATCCTGATAATGAGAGAAAATAATGAAATTGTCAAGGTCCTTCATTTTACTTGGATCCATAATCAATTCCCTTGGAAGCAGCAATCAAGAAATCAAATGACATCTCATATAGGGCAAATCTGCTACAAAAAAACTTCTTTAAAGTGCTATAAAGTCCACTGTGAAGACTAAGATTCACTTGACCGGTTGTAGTTAAGGGTCCATCGAGTCAGTTATGACTCATATTGTCACTGTGCACAACAGAACAAAACACTGCTGGATCCTGTGCTATCCTCACAATTGTTGTTATTCTTGAACCCATGACAGCTGTCATTGTGCTCATGCATCATCTTGGAGGTCTTCCTCTGTTTCACTGACCCTCCACTTTACCAAGAATGATGTCCTTCACCAGAGACTGATCTCTTCTGATAATATGTCCAAAGTATGAGACGCAAAATCTGGCCATCTTGGCTTCTAAGGAGCATTCTGGTTGTATTCCTCCCAACATAGATTTGTTTTTCCTTCTGGCAGTACAGGGTACCTTTAATATTCTTGGTCTTCCTTATTCATTGTTCACATTTGCACATGCATATGAGGGTAAGTAGCATATAGCGTAGTGAATTATAAACTGGTATGCTAACTGCAAATGAGTACTTTGAATCTACCAGATGTTCTTCAGTAGAAATATGAGCCTTTCTGCTCCTGTAAAGATTTACAGCCTTGGAAACCCTATAAAGGAATGTTATAAGTTGGAACTGACTCAGTGGCGCACAACCACCACCACCATGAGATGAGGCTATTGAAAATACAATGACTTGTGTCAAGCACACCTTAGTCCCCAAACTGACATCTATGCTCTTCAACACTTTCAAAGGTCTTGTGCATCAGATTTGGCTAATGCAATAGTTTGATTTCTTTTTTTTTTTGTTTTTCATTTATTAGAGTAGTAGTCCCTCTTTTTTTTTTTCTTAAATGTTTTATTGTGAATTATGTAATAGTTTACATGGGAGAACATTAGTTTTACATTCATTCTATCATATACCGTCTCATTGCCATGGTTACAATCCCCTCCATGCAATCCTTCCCCCGTGCCCCCCAGGTCTTCAGCACACAGTGGCTCTCCCTCTATCTAAAGTCTCCAGCTGCTCCAT